TTTGGCTTTGGTTTCAACAAAGGACAGCAAAGATTGGGATTGAGTTTAATGTCTGTTAGGCGTGAGAAGAACGCCCTACCGACATTACCCTTAGGCCCTGATCATCAGAAAAACTTCACTTGACCGGCACTAAAAGTAAATACAATACGAGTGCCAAGGACCCTTGACCTCAGGATTAGCAAGAAATGAGGATAGACCTTGAGAGCGTGCAATAAAAATTTGACTACTCCGGGCGGAGAAAGTCGAGACGACTAGCGAAACGTGTACAAACTCTAGACAATGAATGAGCGGACTGATAAGTCTGTCTCCGTAGACTTATCGCAACGTGAGCCGTATACAAACAATAATTTCTCACCAAGCTGTCTTTTCGATGTTCCCCAGACTCCTGTGTCGCTTCCCAAGGCTTAGGAAGGCTTTCTTGCTTCGTAGAAGGCTTGTGGTAGAGGCAGTCAGCTCTGCTGCGCTGGGTAGAGCAGGCTTGGCTGGTCTGAGCAGAGCAGGCATGGCTGTGTAGGTTTCAATAGTCTTAATCTTTCTTGCATGTAGATCTACATCCCATCCTCGTCGCCAATGTTAAGGTCTTGTAACTTGTAACAGGAAACTTTTAACAGCAAACTTGAACATCAATCAAGAACACAGGAGTCTTGTCTTGGGTCGAACATAATGAAGCAGTTTATTTATGATTAATATGTCAAAGGAACAATATCTACACAACGTGTTAGATTATTTACATGATACAGAATACATGCCTTCATTAATAATTGACACTCACACGTCTCAGTCATTCCCACATAGAATAATACAACACCAGCCTAATGGTAAACGGTGGCAAAAAATATGAAATACAAACATGACATATTATGATACGAAAATGACATAATAAACAACATGGAAGTGTTTCTTCAAAGGGGAAACAACTTAATAGCCAATGTCCTGCAAAGGGAATGAACTACGAGCGGATCTAATTATTTCCCTTACATAACACAAACATATCTCGCTCCAGAAATCAAAGTGACAAATAACAAGAACGAAAATAACAGCACGAGGTCCTCCGTCACCAACCCAAAGATCCTAAAATTACACACCATCCCTTACTATGCCCTAGAGCAGTGGTTTTCAAAGTGGGCGCTACCGCCCCCAGGGGGGCGGTGGCAAGAGTTTGGGGGGCGCTGTGGCGAAACTGGGCGATTGGGGGGCGCTGGTGGGCGCTAAGGGGGCGGTGTGAAATTTTCATGACATGCAACATAAAACATGATGAAGGGAAAAAAGCCACATAAAAAACAAAAACAAAAACAAAAATTGATAGCTTAGGCATAGTTTACAATACTACTTATAACTAAGAACTTTCTTTCCCAGCACTCAAATCTCATATAAAGAAGATTCATCACGACAAATGTGACAAAGATTTAGCATACTTCAAAACTTTAAAGATCAATTTTCAGAAATGAAAATCAGTTAAACCGATGTTTGCAGCCCACGTCGATCAAGCTGATAAAGGCTTACGAGCAATATATAATTTATCGCAGCTAATTACAAAGGCAGGCAAACACCATGCTATTGGTGAGAACCTCATATTACCTGCGATACCCTGCTGTTTGAGCTCTCTCTTTATTTGTGATTTTTATTATATTACGCATGTCATTATGTCAGACTGATGGTTGGGGCGGAGTAGGGGGGCGCTGGGACTCGGCTGGGTGAAAAAGGGGGCGGTGAGCGAAAAAAGTTTGAAAACCACTGCCCTAGAGCATCTTCAGCCTGCTATAGCTTAACAGTGTACGCCCACCTTAAGCCCCACGAGCCGCCCGTGGTAAGGATTATTTATGACACAGTGTTTTATTCCCTTGCATATCAGTTTTTGTCTATATCGAACCTCTCAGATACATTTCATTGAAAGTTATTTTTGGTTGTTCTTTTCGAATCTCCTCAATCAGCCATCAGCCCCAATGATGAAAAAAAAAACCCACTTTCCTTCTCTGTCTTTATCAATCGCTCTAGCCTCTTCCCACCCACACCATCTCTCTTTCTCTCTCTCTCTCTCTCTCTCTCTCTCTCTCTCTCTCTCTCTCTCTCACACACACACACACACACACACACACACACACACACATAAACACACACACTTTGTCTGTCTGTCTGTCTGTCTGTCTGTCTGTCTGTCTGTCTGTCTGTCTGTCTGTCTGTCTTTTTTTATAGTAGAGGGTTTTACGGCGCTCACAACTGCTTACGGTCATATGAGCGTGCGGGACACACCTAATACTTTTAGTTGGTATGAAATTTTGAATTTTGCCCGGGTGGCGCCGAAGCCTACTCTTATCGATTTTAAACCACCAGGGGATTTTTAACGTGCGCAACTTGCACGCGGCCCTCCGAGATTTTTCGCCCTTGTCCGAGAAGGCTAGGTGTAGATCTTTCCTTCCAGAAGACCAGGGGCGTGGCAGAAAGACAGCTGTAATAAGGAGTCAAGGAGTAGCAGTAGAAAGGCTGCAGAAGGAGTCAGGAGCCCAGAGGAGGGGGGCAAAGGAGGTGAGGGGGTGGGGACAGAAAGAAGAGACGAAAGCAGACGACAGAATATTGCTAGAGAGCAGGAAAGGAGATGAAAGGAGACAATTTTAGGGAAGAAAATGTGTCGGTCGCTAGCCGGATTCGAACCCTTTGAATGAGAGGCCAACACCTTAACCTCTAGGCCACGAGAGCCCCCCGTCTGTCTGTCTGTCTGTCCGTCTGTCTGTCTCTCTCTGTACACACTCACTCTCTCTCTCTCTCTCTCTCTCTCTCTCTCT